CCAGAGTAAGTTGGTATTTTCTCATTTTACACATGAGCCAGGAAAGACATGAGGATAAAGCTGGAAATTGAGCTTCTTCCCTCCAAGTCCAAGAGCCAAAGCAGAGGATTCTGGCCAACAGATTTGAGGTGGGGGGTGGGGTAGGTTTTGGCTCTTTTATTCATTAGACATGATTATAACTAATTTCCTACTCAGTTTAATGTCATGTGGGTATATATACATACAACGTACATATATGTACATGTGTCTTTTTCCTCTTTAAATTGTCCTGAATAGAGACAGAGGCAGAAAGAGCAAATGAAGGCCAACGGGGGAGGCACAGTCAGGAGCAGAGTGGAAGGTGCAGAGGTGTGCTTGCTGCCACCTTCCTTCTCACCTGTTCTTGTCGCCCCCAGTGGAACAGTAACCATCAGATATCATGGACCTAGTTTTCTGATACAACCACCCATTTTTTTCTTTTCATCTCACTTTTCCAGTTAACCAGTTAGCTTGGTGATGGCCTCATCTAAGGAAGCAATAGAAGCACCAATGATCCCAAGTAGCTAGACGTTCTTCTTTTTGTCCTGTATAATAAGAGGAATGGAATATCTTGATTCTATAAACTGGTAAAATTTACAAGCATACTTTCCATACTAGACCAAAAAAAAAAAAAACCAAAAACACTTCTAGATACAGTAAAATTGCAAATATGAAAAATAGTAATAATTTTAATCCACCTCTCTACTCCTCACTCCTCATTATCAGTTAGATTATGATCTATTCATAAATTGTCTCCTATAATGGCTACATAGTGTCTGTTAGCATCAACAAACTACAATGTATACACACATACAAACCCAGTGCAGTTTGAAACTTCCTTTTTAAGAAGGAACAATGGGAAGTTTGTGTTTACCTTATTGCATGGTGAGATGGATAATCATGGAAGGTTTTTTTGTTTGTTTGTTTTAATTTTTTGTTTCTGTTTTTTGGGAGGTATTTGAGAAATAAACCTAAATTATTGGGTTTATTGATTCATTTATTATTATTATTATTTTAAATGGAGCTACTGGGGATTGAACCCAGGCAGGACCTCATGCATGCTAACACTACACTCTACCACTGAGCTATGACCCTCCTGCCTTATGTTAGGTTAAGGTGTAAGTACAAACACATTAACACATGTAACTCCACTGAAATTTAAACTGACAGAAGTTATATAGATACTACACAAGGTAATTCAAAGGAGCCATGAGGTAGAATTCTGAATAAGAATGAAGAATTCTATGCTTAAATACATAATACATTTTATTCTTGGCTTTTGCATGTACCATCTTCAAAAACAATTGAGCACTTAAATGGCTTTATCAGTTGAAGAGATTGGGTCCTCAGAGATTGCATCATTATTTAGCTAAAGTTTCTGAGGTAACAGGAGACAGAAATTTCACTTTACTCAGTTTTTAATTGATGAAATTATAACATTGGTGAACTTCTTTTTATATATTTGTGTATCTGTAATTTCTGATTTTTGAGAATCTTAGAAGATAATTATAATTCTTGTTCATAATAACATCATGAAGAGTAAAATACCTAGGATTAAATTGGACAAAAGAAATACAAAACTTATATTCTGAAAGTTACAAAACATTGTTGAAAGAAATTTTTTTAAAAATCTAAAAAAGGGGAAAACATCCCCTATACATGGATTCGAAGATATAACATCCTTAAAATGATAATAGTCCCTAAACTGACTTACAGGTTCAGTGACATCTCTATCAGAATTTCAACTCATTTCTTTTGTAGAAATTGAAAAGTTGATTCTAAAATTCATATGGATTTGTAAGAGACCCAGAATAGCCGAACCGATGCTGAAAAAAAATAATCAAGTGAGATAACTCACCCTTCTTGATTTGAAAACTGCTACAAAGCAACAATAATCAAAACAGTGTGCTAACAAGACATGGATAAAATATATCTCAATGAAATAGAGTTGAGAGTTAAGAAATAAGTCTGTACATACATTTAAGGTCAACTGATTTTTGACCAGGGTAAATGACTTTATGATGGAGGAGGAATTCAACAAACCATGCAGAAGCAACTGGTTAGCCTCAATAAAAGAATAAAGTTGGAACCTTATCTCACTGCATATTCAAAAATTAACTCAAAATGGATCAAGGACCTAAATGTGAGAGCTAAAACTATAAAAATTTAAAAGTAAATATTTGACTAAATATTCATGACATTATGTAAAGATTCTTAAATCTAATGTCAAAAGCATAAGCAACAGAAGAAAAATAGATAAATTGGACTTTGTCAAAATTAAAAATATTTGCCCTTCACAAGACACCATCAGTAAAGTGAAAATATGACCCACAGAGAGGGTGAAGATATTTGCAAGTCATATATATGATATGGAATTTGAATGTACAATTTATAAAGAATTCTTAAATTCAGTAGTAGAAGACAAACAACCCAATTAAGAATGGGCAAAGGATCTGAAGAGACATGTCTCCAAGGAAGTTATACAAATGCCAATAAGCACGTGAAAAGATGCTCAACACCATTAGCCATCAGGGAAATGCAAATCAAAGCCACAT